GAAAGCCCTACTCCCACGAATCTTTGGAAAAGTGTATGGAATGAGCCACAACCAAACCATGGTTTAGTGCAGGGCCTATGTTTGCTTGGACCACAATGTGGTTGATCTCCTTCTCGCTCAGCATGTTGTTCAGCCAGTCGTGAGTTAACTGTGGGAAACCAAAGTTAAAACAAACCATGGCTTATCACAGGAGGTGTGTGTTTCTGGGCCCAATCCACCGCTGACCTCCTCTTCTTCTTCCTCCTCCTCCTTTTCCAGCCGATGAAAGCGACCAGCCCCCACCAGCCCAGTTCCCGGTTGAGTTGTCCCAACACGACGTTATTCCGGAGACGATTTCTCGGGAGTTCCTGCTCCAGAAGATTCAGGAAAAGCTGGGAGAAGGTGAGGCTGAGAAGGGGGGGGGGGCGCTTTGGGGTGTAGATGACACATAGACCCAAACCCCGAGAGAGAAGCCTCACGCTCGGTCAGACACGGACCCGGTTTTTGGGGTCCAGCTAAGCCCAGCATCCTCCAGGCACCCTCATTCTGGAGGGGAGGGGAGCTTGGTGCCCCCCCCAGGAGGGGCTGAAAGGTCTGTGGGGAATAGCGAAGGGCAGCCCTTGATATCCCCCCCCACCCTGCAAAGGAAACAACTGAAGAGCAGAAAAGGCAAAGAAGGAGAATTCGATCCAGGAACCGAGAGGAGCCTTCCGGGGCGCAGACATGGCTGCCGCCAGCAAGTGGCTTGTTCGGAGTTCTCTTGGTTGTGTGAACCCAGCCGGTTCTGGCTTAGATGGCAGGATCTGTAGCTCCGGGTCTGGCGGGAATAAGAAACAATAATAATAATAATAATAATAATAATAATAATAATAATAATAATAATAATAATAATAATAATAATAATAATAATAATAATAATAATAATAATAAACCCTTTATTATCAAAGTATAACCTGTATACAGTGAAATTGGGGCACCCCCTTTAATAACCGCTTTCTCCTTCCCTCCTCGTGTAGAGCAAGAACTCCCCATACTGGTCCACGGGGAGCCCCAACCGTTCCCCCTGCAGCCCAGAGGGCGAAGACCCCCTTGCAGGGGGGTGGGCTGCACCCGCAAGCTGCCCCTCTACAAGCTGGAAGACTTCCCGCCGGGCCGCCCCTCCCTCGGCAACCTGCAGGCCCTCTGCTCCGTGGGGCGGAAGAAGCCCAGCTACGGGCCCTGGAACCTGCCCCAGACCAGTTTCAGCCACCTCTCGCGCCAGGGGGAGGTCCTGAACCAGCTGGAGACCCAGTTCACCCGCTGCTGTCAGCTGGCCCAGGATCAGAAGCTCTCCTGTGCCACCAACGAGGTGAGTGTCCCCCCTGCGCCTCTGTGTGTGTGTTGCGTTTGTGTCCCGTCCGCCACACTCTGCGAGGGCCTCCTTCCCACTAGGCCTACATCAAGCTCTCCCAGATCCTCCTGACCAGGTGTTTGAGCTACCTGGAAGTTGGCTCTTGGCCTTAAAAATAAGCCACTGAGCTATTCAGGTGCGTCACCGCTTCCCCGCCAAATAATTTTAAGAAAAAGCCGATTGGATCTGCACCTTCTGCTCTCTCCCCCCTCTCGGAGGAAGGGCCAGATCCCTCCAGAAGTCTCCCCTGGGAGGCAGAACTGGGGGGCACTGCAGATGTTGGCGAGCTTGAGTGTTGCAACCAGGGTAGGCTGGATCTGTTGTGCCAAGTTTACACACCCCTGTATCTTTCTGAAGAACGTCTCATTAAAAAAAACCCACAAAGTGTTTACGAGATTGTGTTTACCTGGGCTGTGAAGCCGGCTCGGATTTGGTTCGTGCCGGGAACCTTTTAGCCCAGGGGTGGGCAACTATCTCTCCCTTACGGACAGTGGGCTTCAACTCCCAGAATCCCCGAGCCAGCTGGCTGGGGAATTCTGGGAGTTGAAGTCCACCCTTTATAAGGGAGACATAGTTGCCCGCTCCTGTTTTTTTTTTTGTCTTCCCAGAAGCCGCCTTTTAATGCAGATCCTTCCTGGTCCTTCACACGGGGGGGGGAGAGGGCGAATCTCCCCCTCCCCTTGCCTGGTGGCTAATCTCTTTTCCTTGTTCCCCCCCCCTTCTCCAGTGGGAAAAATGCCTGATCCGGTTTTGCAAGCAGGAGTACTCCATCAAGACACGCCCCTTCCACTGCTGCCGCGTGGGTGCCCGCGAGGGCCGGCTCGCCTGCTTCGCCAGCCAAGCCCCCTTCCCCACCTATGAGGGTGAGGGGGCATCGCTGGACCTGGCCAACCTCACCACCCCCATCCTGGACTCCATTTGCAGCCAAGCGTCCGGCCAGGCCAAGCAGTGAGTAGCTACGTCCCACATCCTCCAGTTCAACAGATCTGCCGGCTGGGTTGGGGAAGCCAGGAAGAGGTTTTCTCTCCCCCCCCCCACCTTGGGAGTCTTGAGCGCTTAGGAGGCCCTTCTCTGAAGCTCCTCCTCCTCCTCAGGTGGGCTGGGCTCTTCTGGCAGGGAGCAATGGGGGTGGTAGTCCAAGCCATCTGGAAGGCAACCCGGAGAGTGCTCTGGGTGCCATTTATGCCAATCGGTTAGGATACAAATAGAAGTCTGTCCAGCTGGCAGACCTTCAGGAGCCCCCCCAAAGAGCCCTTCAAGCAGGAGGCTAATTTATGGAGTGTGCTTGACCTGTTTATATAAATTACTCAGGACAGCAATCCAAGGATTAAATGCCAAGAAGTCAGATTTCTTGACCCGCTGCACCCTCTTGTGGCTCCAATCTGAATTGCACCTATGCCCCTTGGCACTAA